CATTAATTAATTAAATGTAAACACGATAGTTAACTTATTGAAGGAGGACTGAGAAATCGTGCGCTGAAATATCGAAGGATTAATTATTTGGTGAATTTAGCTGCAAACTTAAGAAAAATATTTATTGACCAATGATCTTGCCATATATATATATATTATAAATATATATATATACATATACATAATACTTATTATTATTATTATTATTATTATTATTAATATTATTATTATTATTATTATTATTATTATTATTATTATTATTATTATTGTATCATAACACCGGGCGCTGCAGAAAATTTTGAAAACCTCTCCCAGTCAGCAAATTAAAATAGTTATCACCCGAAGTATCAGAATAATTCTTTACATCCCTTTCCCCTTCCCATAGGATTTAATTCTTCAACGTAAAAAGAACACACGTGCGCGCGCACACACCGACATTTTGTCTAGCGGACTACTTACTCTACCTTAAGCGCATCGTATCCATCTCATGTTATCGTCATCGTAGGTGTTAAATAAATGATGCATTAATATTACAACGTTGCGTTCTGTAGATTTGACTTTCAACCCTTTCGATTTTCTTGGTCCGTTTTCGTCGGGATGGCACCAGCGATACGGTAGGTGTTGATATTTTTTATGTTTTCTCTCCCTCAACCTTTCTTTCCCCGTTACTTTCACTAATATATTTCCGACGGCCACAAAGACACGTTGGAAATATTACTTCCTCGACATGTTTCGCAAAATTCGTTCTGAAGTTAAACTTTCGTACAGTAATCGCAAGATAATTTATTTCGTATTTATCTTGACCGTTGTATCGTTTATTCTTAATGATCAGTCTAATCGGAAAATCACCGCGTTTCATGAAATTGTAGAATTTAGAGATAATTATACATTTTTGAGGTTGAGCTCTTTCTTGGAGATACTTTCCGCCAGGGAAAGAAGGAAAGATCACATAAGATTCTGTTGGCGTGGGCTGCATATTTGTGATTATACGATTATCGCCGAGATTAGGAAGATAACTCTGGAGTATATCCGACTGAGAAAATAGAATTTTATGCTGTTGCGGTTCGTTACGCCGCTGCTGGTTAATTACACACCGCTGAATTTAGTGGCTCCACTCACGCTGGAAAGTTAATCGAGCACGTAATAAGAGGAAGTAAAGGGGAATTTAATCTTCTGGAATTCTCGCGGAACTTTCGTTTTCGTTTTAGCCCCATCCCCCGCCCCTCTTTCTCGAATGCGTGCAACGCGTTTCAACAGTTTGGTAATTTTGCTTAACCTTAAAACTACAACTTTCATGAACCAATTTATTGCTTATGAATGTTGAAAACCTAATAATTATAATTTGTATCTCGGTAGAAATGATTATTATCTATAATACACGAGAAACTATCACTTGGGATAACATTGTCTACATCAAAGTTCAGTTCATGTAACAATTGCTGTACAAAGTAAACACGCAAAAGGACCACAACTTCTAGGGTATTCAGATAATACCCGTTATACGACGAAAATGGTCTTAATGAAGAGAATTAAATAACATTTTCAGTATTATAAACGATTTCCTGTTTCAATTGAAGAGATTCTCTAGCTTCGGAAACTATCTTAGCGTACGAACACTTGTCATTTCTTTTTTCGATCATTCTTTGTTATTCATATGTAAACTAGGAAGATAGATGATCTATGATTTAATTTAAACAAAAATCTATTGGTAACTTGGAGAATATTAATTTTTCGGTGGTTTAGAGTAGGTACTCTAGAAATTAATAACTCCTTTTTGTACTCATCTTGTACAATTCGATTAATCGACTTTTCAGTTGCATTTGTCTTGGAGAAGCGATAAGTACGTAAAAGTACAATTATATATTATATTTTGTAATAATAATATATATATAATATAATAAAATATAATATGTATTAATATTATATAATATATATTATATTTTATAGTTCTATATTCCTTATAATTATTTTATAACGCCCTCTTCACGCAGTGTTAGTGGTGTTTTAATATTCTTTTCTAACAGTTACAAAAGACACAAGTTCACATGACAAACAAAATCAGTCCAGTTCACACGGGCAAAAAGATGTGCTCGTATATAAATCGTACAATTTTAAAATCTTCTCTTCGAGGTAAATTTATCTCTGACGCGGCAACGGAGAACGTTCAAAGGGCCAATCCTTAATGGAACAAGATTTATGAAGGAAAACAGATGTATAAACAGAACTAATATTCTAAGTAGCGATGAACGCAGTTTGGAAGACACGTGTTCCGATCGGCGAACGATTTCCTTTACACGTGCGTCGCTCCGTTTCCGACGTCACCGACGTGTTCCTGGCCCGGGCGAACGTTAACGAGACGAGAAAATGAGCAATTAACTTCATCACCTAGGGGAGCCGATGCTCCTGGGATTCGGACGGTCGTTGTTATCACGTGTAAAACACGTGTAACCTGATTGGCCGACGATTATAAATGGACCGAACGGCAAGGTGGCGAGAAATTTTAATGAGATCCTGCGAAGATTTTTCGTGTAAGAATAATGACAACTTTGAGATTTGACGTGATCTAAATTAAGAAACAGACATGGAGAAACGGGAATCGCGTAATTTTCTTCGGAGAAGTTAAACGAAAATTAACGTTGTATCAAAATTGGTACTGAGTTATTATAGAAATACGTGTATAATGTTAAGCAACCGCTTAGTACGTCAATACACTTAACCCTCGTTTACATGTAGATTGGTTCCCCGAAAATGTATGAATCGAAATCGTGCAATTTGCATTCACGATTCATATTGAAGAGGAATACATACGTAATGAGTTTAATAAATCCATGTGAAACAGTATTAATTTTCGAAGAAGTTCTTTCGTTCTTCTTCAACCGTGTTAAACTGAAATCGTGTAATTCGAATACCGCGTAAATCGAGGACTAAGACTACCATTTCAGAAATGTTATGCCACTTAAATCAAGTATTGATTCATCGTCTCTCTTCCTTTCGCAACTGTGTTGATTAAAGTCATTTTGTTATTAAAGAATTGCCAGAAGAGAAGGAATTTTTCCCGTCTCGGAGAAAAAAAGGCAGGAATAATTTAATGTTTATTAGTTTCTATCAGAAATGTTTGAAACGAATCTGATTGAATATTACAAGACAGAAGGATGCTTTTAATCTTCAATTCTTACCACGTTGAACTGGTTTAATAACCAAGCTGAATAACCAAAGTACTGTTGAAATTCTATACACTAATTATGCAACCATATTAATCTAACAAATTACACTTTCAAACTGAAGAATAAGTAAAACTACATTACCTAATTTAAACTAAAACTTCATTGCACCTAATTCCAACAAATTCTGCTCCAAAAATATGGTTCTAGTGTCAACCACACTCGTACTTTCA